TGGACATTCTGGTTCCAAGGTTTGACAATGTGTCATTTACACACTTGTTAAGAGAGAACAACCGGTTTGCTGATGCGCTGGCAACTCTATCCTCCATGGTAGACATACCGCTAGGGGTTAAGATGTGTCTGATTATCATCGAATAGAAATAGGTGCCTGCTTACGAGACAATAGACGAAGTTCAAGACAAGAACCCCTGGTATCATGACATTTGGAACTTCCTAGAAAATGTTATGTACCCACAAGGGGCAAATGCCAAGGATAAATTGGGAATAAGGCGTTTGGTCGGTCAGTTTATCATATGCGGACGTAAGTTGTACAAGAGAGGCCATCTGGGAATGCACAAGCTCTGTGTCAAAGAGGAAGAATCAAAACGTCTCATGGAGGCCATCCACGGAAGAGAGTGTGGAGCACACATAAAAGGTGTGATGCTGGCCAGGAAGATCCTCAAGCAGGGATATTATTGGTCAACCATGGAGGAGGATTGTATCAACTTTGTTCGGCAATGCCACAAATGTCAAATCCATGCTAATCACATGAATATCCCACCGTCAAAGGTCTACAACATGACTTCACCATGGCCTTTCTCAGTCTGGGAAATTGATGTCATTGGAGCAATCTCACCAAAGGATTCGAATGGACATGAGTTCATTTTGGTGGTGATTGAGTATTTTACTTAGTGGGTGGAGGCGTAGTCGTATTTAGTGTTGAAAGCATCGCATATGGCCAAGTTCATGAGGAACAATATCGTCTGCAGGTAAAGGGTGCCAAATGAGATCGTATCAGACAACAACTCACACTTTAAGAATGAGGTAGTGGATTTGCTTGAGAAATACAACATGGCTTTTCACAATTCATCAACATATAGACCACAAACCAAAGGAGCCATTGAAGCCACTAACAAGAATGTCAAGAACATCCTATGAAAGATGGTGGAGACCTACAAGAACTGGCCAAATAAATTGCCTTTTGCACTCTGGGGTTATAGAACGTCAATTCAAACATCTATAGGGGCAACTCTCTACTCTTTAGTATATGGGATGGAAACTATTTGGCCAATCGAGGTCGAAGTAGAGGCGGATTGGCAGCAAAACAAATTTGAAGAGTTGATGTTGTTTGACGAGAAGAGGTTAAAGGTGTTGTATCATATCCAAGGATATCAGCACAGAATCGCCACCTTCAACAAGAAAGTCAAATCCAGAAACCTCAAAGAAAGAGATATAGTGCTCAAAGATAACTGAACTCCCATCCATGACCCTAGGGGCAAGTTTAGACCCAATTGGACTGGTCCTTACATCATCAAATCTATCTGGTCAGGAGGATCAATCATCCTCATGGATTTGGATGGCTTGGAGTTCTCACAACCGATCAACATGGAAAAGTTAAAGAAATACTATCCTTAAGAGGCTTGCTAGGATGAAAACCCGTAAGGGCGACCTAGGCAAAAGTTATAGTATAAAAATTTGGAAATAAAGAAAAATAGAGCTCACAAGGTTGAAAACCCGAAAGGGTGGCTTTGGCTAAATTTTGAGCACAAAAGGAAAGAGTTAATGCTTGAGTGAACCTTAACTGAACTACGTAAGGCCTGATTCTCATCTTTGGGATACGAAGGCAACTTCATCCTGAAGTTCGGCCATAATCATTTTCAACTCGACTGTATTTGTTTGATTGGTCCATCTCATCATCTATTGGCTTGGTTACGTTACTACCATTTGGCAGAACGGCCAGTTGCAAGACAAAGCAAGGGGCAGAACGATAGTGAAGGTAAATGCAGTTGGGGGCAATTATGATCTTTTTTATTCTGAGCTATATTTCTTGAGGATTGATTCCATGTGTGTTAGGTATTGACCGTTTGCGAAAGTTGTTTTGAAAATTTTTAATTAAGTTGATTTTCTCAAAATTTCACTTTTTACAATACAGGCCATTATTTGGACCAAAAAAGAAACTTTTCAGTACTCACACCTATAATTATACGTTTTCAACACAAGTACACCCTCAAACTCTCAGGTTAAATTAAAGTTGCTTTTACATCCTAACACTTGAAAAGGAAAGTCAAAGTAATAAACTAGGGGCATAGATAAGTCAAGTAGTGGTCCTCTATCTCTTGCCCGCACTCGCAGAAGTCTCTGCCGCCAAGGATGGCCCGACCTATGTCTTATCCTCAAGCCAAGCCAAACACTTACCAGGAAGGGCACAATTAAAGCTAGTAGTAGGGGCCAAAAGCTCTCTTATCCTCCAAGCAGCAAGGTATCGAGCCAAGTACGAAGGATGAATTAGAAATAAAGCTAGATATTCCACCCCCTTATCTGGACGAGTCTGATCATGCCCAAACTAGCGTCTGAACCGAATAAGAAGTAGAACACACTGTGTGTGGGGCCAATCAACTATATACCTCACTGGTGGGACATGTTGTAGCTCATCTCGGAAAAATTAAGCTAGGGGCACTACCTAGCGATGTCAGTCGCAGATCTGCTGCACATCAATTCGCACCACAACCCCTCTGTGGGGAAGTTCACTAGCTGCATCCGAAAGAAATAGGATCTGGATGAATACTCAAGGCAAGGGTCCACGGCTTTTAGCTTATCCATCCACTACAACAAAAAAAAGTTTTTACAGCGCACAATGCTGGCCGTAAAAACCCTTCTACGACGTGCAATGCGCGTCATATTATGACCAGTCATGAAAAGTCATTCACTTTCAATGACATGCTTCGTACGCCATTAAAAACTATTTAACGACAGATTTTGTGCGTCGTCGTTACTTTTTTGATAACATGCTAGGGTACGCCGTTAAAAACTATTTAACGGCAGATTTTGTGCGACGTTGTTATTTTTTCTACGTCTATTTTTCCACGTCGTTAATTGGTGAGACAAATAACGACACTGATTGTGCGCCGTAAAATATGTAATACAACAACTTATTATGCCTACCGTAGAATATACTGTTTTTTTATTATTTTAAATTCAGCAGGTTCTGTTTGACCAATTTTGTATAATCTAACAAATATTACAAACAAGCATCACAAAACATCAATCAACCACCAAAATATTGTTTGAAACATCAAAAAGAAGCTATATCCATAAATTATAAACATTCAACAATTTTCTATACATTTCAAACATTCAAAAACTAAATCCTTAAGTTCTAAACTGTACAAAAAGTTTAAACCATCCAAAACTGTGCATATCTAACTTTCTAAACATATCGACAATTATTAAGAGATTATCTAAAACTACCGACAACAGTTTCTACAGTAGTTACAACTGCAGCTGCAGCTGTAGCAAATCTACTTGCTCCTATCATAGGGACGAGGGTGCCCAATGTATGTGTTAAGACACATAAACCCGCGACAATAGCTAGAGCAACTAACCCTGTTACATTTCTTGTCTGCATGACAAAGGAAACTTCATATAAGTACAAAAACTAACGATTCAGGGACAAAAATATTTCTTAAGGTATTAAGAAATGATCAAGAAATTTTAAAGTATCAACAAAACATTTCCAAAATTAGTAAGATAATTCAATGGCCCCATAAAAGCAATGTAATAATGAAAAATTAGCAAAAATTCACGATCTCAATAGTTTGCTACTAAATCCAGGCCATAAGAAACTCAAGAGAAAAATCAAATTTAAAAAGAGGAAGAGGTGGAATTAATCTACTTCACTGCAACACCTACTTGGGACTTGCATAATTATGTTAAAGGATCCCTATGTATGAGGTTTAGGTTTGTATAGGTTTCATCCATTACCATTGTAAGTTCCAAAATAAAGAGTCCAAGTCAAATTAGAGTCCATATTATTTGCAAGTTTTAAAAGAAACTCTCGATCCATTATAGAAGAAATTTAGGTAAATTTTAGTAGCTTTAGGCACTTTTTGGGACAATGTGATGTAATTTTACCTTAGTACTTAGTAGCAACTTAACATAAATAAATTTTTTTTTAATAATATATATACCTAATCTAATATTTTTGGAATAAACTAAAATCAACACAATGTCAAAATAGGGTAACACCAACTGATATTCTTTTTTTATATATTAGAGATCATTGGATGGGTGTGTCATGAAAGCGAAAACTATTTTTTTTTTTACTTTTTTTATAAAAAATAAAAAAAAATAACAGTAAAGAGGGAAAGATACATAAACTCGTGTAATAAACTGAAGCACCCAAGAATTCCATAACTAAGCCTTTGGATCATACAGGGAAGTAAAAAAACAATTTTGTTTTCCCTCACAGAAAACAATTTTCCCTCACAGAAAACAATTTTCCCTATCATTTCCCTCACAGGAAACAATTTTGGGACCAAACCCAATGAAATTAAGTAGAAAAATCATAAATCAATTTTTTCTACCTTTCCCTCACAGAAAACTATTTTGGGTCCAAGTGCAATATGGGTTTACAAAATGAAACTACAGACTACCTATGAATTAAAATGAATAAAAAAAAATTCTTACAAAAAAACTTTTGATGCTGCTACAAGCTACTATAGCAGTTGGTAAAATAATAATGTGGCTATTTGGTGTATTTCAAGCCAAAAACTGATAACATAAAATAAAAACTAGAAGCACCCTTCCCCTATTGCTCAATAATTCAATTTTTTCAGCTTATTTAAAATCTTTGTATCTTATAAACTATAACCAGAAACTGCATATCACATATTTTCAAATATATATATATATATATATATAGAAGAAAAAAAAAACTCTATAAAATGTATACATTAGCTATACTACATCTCAATGACCTTCCTTTTCTTTATATATTCTCTGTATGGTGGGCATATGTTTAATTAGTGACAACTAAAAATATGAACAAACTAAGCTAAGTGACCAAATAAAGTAATAAGCTTAATTTGCAAGCTTCTCTTTTGAATAAATTCTTGTAATAATTATTTATCTTGGTAGTGGAATGCAATTTGATTTAGTGATTTAGGCAATACAAACAAGAAAGAGAAGAAACAAAACAGAAACAAAAAACAAAAAAAAAAACAAAAGGCTTACCAGTGGCAACATAGCATGAAGTTAAAGATCCTACAATGTTCATGAAGCCCATGGCCAACATTTCCTTGTTTCCATCAAGATGGTAACCTTTTATGGATGCAAAAGATCGACCAACCACAATGGCTTCCTGAAGTTGGCACACGTGTCAAGACACTTTTCACAAGAAATTCAAAATGTTCATGAATAATGTTGAAGAATAAATAGAAGGGAATAAATAGTGATGAGGAATGCACCGTGAGAGCGACAACTGCAACAATCAGTCCAATTTTAGCCACTTCTGAGGCATGTGGGTTGTTGAATTGTAACTGATGAATTAAGATTGGATTCAGCCCTCCTTTGATGTGTTTCACTATTTTAACTCCATATTTATCAGCTCTTGTCAGGAAAACGATAATAATAGACAAAATCATAGGCATCAATGGTGCAATGACCGGCAACCAAAAGAGTTTCTTGTCCCTTTTGATGAAGAGAGCAGCTCATCCACTGCACAGCCATAGCCACAGCACAGCAGCTCCAGCAGAGTAGCAGCTGGAGCTCCAGCAGCTCCATAGTAGCACAGCCACAACCACAGCCACAGCACAACAGCTCCAGCATAGCAGCAATCACAACAGCTCCAGCAGCTCCAAAGCAGAGCAGCAGTCACAACAACTCAGCAGCTTTAGAGCAATAGCTCCAATAGTCACATGTGCATTATCAAGGCTAGGTAGTTAGTTTGTTAGAGTTTAACTATAGTTTAGTTAGACAGTTATGGTTAGGTACAGTTATGGTTAGGTAAAGTAGATCACTCTTGTATATATACTATCTTCTCTGTATAACGTTGATTCATTTAGAAAATCAATAAAATGGATATTTTCTTGTTTTCTCTTTACCTTTTACCCAAATCACAGAATCACAAAGTAAGTATACACTAGAATTGTGGCAGACAAAGAAATTGTATAGACCACCACCTATGTTTGATCTTGGTTGTTTTTATTTTTATGTAAAAAAATAAATGAATAAATAAAAAAGAAAACAACAAAAATGAAATTGCCAATTATGGTTGTTACTTACCAAGAATCTAGTAATTAAAATGAAAGTAAGAAATGAGCAACCAAGGATGAAGCTGTAAGGATTCCAAACCATTCTTTATATGATACACCCTAAGAGAAGCACGACGAGTTTAAATTCATAAATGAAAAATCGAAATCTCCATGAATCAAATCTGCAACTAATCCATTTATACTATTTACAATTGGTCTTTAACTCTTTGAGACATATGGCTAAATATAGAGAAGATTATTTTTTTTTTCTGAGTAAGAGAATACAGAGAAGAACTAAAATGGACTCTAGACGTCGATTCATGCCCCAACAGTGACTAAGGCAAACAAAATCATTAGTAATGATTATCATAGATTCTTCCAGTTAATAACTTATTTTATACATTGTCTCCAAACACATTTTGGTAAAACAGTGCAAATGCTAATATAATTCACAATTAAGGCATCTTGAAATTCTAACCTCGCTGATAAATATAGTAGAAAATGCATATACAAACAAATTTCAAGGGCATCTCTTTAAAAAACAAATTGTTAAGTTAAAAAAACAAATTGACATCACGACATTCTTTACCTATTCTGTGGCCAGAGAAGTTAACATAACAGCATTTGCCCTTAGAAGAAAAAGCTTCAAACTACATAGATGATGACTCAAAGAGCACTTGTAACATGCCTGGGTTAGATTATACAGAAAACCCTTTATTGTGAAGTTCAGTTGAACCTAGTCAATGCAGAATTAAGAAAAATAAGTCAAAGAGAAGACACCAGCATGTTTATACTACCTATATTATTTCCCCCATTGATAATAATTTGACTGCATTTTTAATAATTCTCTTGCACAAAAGCTCGTAATACTACTGTTTCTTGCAGTTATAAATCATCTAAAATGTAAGATATTTTATGAAAATATTAAATAAAATAACTATAAAATAAATAAATAAATAAACTCAAAAACTATTTTTGAAAGCTCAAAACCAAATAGAGAAGATAGATGATTTATGTAACCAAATCCTTGGAGACGAATGAAAGCAATCAAGGTTTTGCAAATGAAAAGGATTCTTACCGATGTTTCACCTATTCTGACACAAAGGATTCTATTAGAAGCACTAAAGACCATAGAGAATAAAATTCTCAATGGCCATCTTAATTCTAAAGGTGCATAGATTGTGGACTACAAATAGGAAATTCATTCGATGTAATCTCAATCAATTCTAGGAAGATACTGTCCAGCTGAATTTTGAGCAACAACTACTACAAGCATCCATCCTGAGGACTCCATAATTCTGGTATCATTTGAAACAATTGCACAAGCTTAGAAAATCACTTATTTATTTATTTATTTATTTATTTATTTATTTATTTATTTATTTTTCCCTACTAAACACAGAGGACTTTAAATACTTCCACAATTACCTCCACCTCCTCAGAGTTCAAATTTCCCACAGCAATATAATACAATTTAGACCACAAAATTTCCTGTTGGATGGTACCATTTCCTGTCTAGGAAAAGACATAAAGATTAATAACCTAATCCACCACAATTTTTTTTAATCATACAATATATAACAATAACGTTACCCCCCTTATTACCATGAATAATGTTCCAAGACAAAGTTGTATTAGGATACGATGGGTCCTCTATCCACTCAACAAGGCTTTCTCTACCTGCAGAATTACCATAAATAAGTGTGAAGAAACTAAAAACATTCTTGTATGCGTTGAGGCTTGAAATGTTTACATGTGTATATCGATAAACTTATACCTTAAGAGGGTTCATAGTTCTTGTAATTGACAGATTATTTTGGAATATTTTCTATATTAAAGCTGGTATGGCTAGAACACAGTGCGTAGCAGTGGACATGAGATAAGTAACAGGTTTAGAATTCCTAGTGGGAGAAGATACAAGATTTTGAAGTAGTTGGATTAAAATATTCCTATACATAAAAGTCAAACTTTCTGGAAACCTAAATATATGCTTACATATGAATAAAAAAGATGAACTCCCTCATACTCATTGATGTCACTCTCTAATACGATTAAACACGACTCATTAGACCATAACAATTCAATATGTATCAGATAACATCTACATGCTGATCAAGATGATTCCAATGTGAATGTTAGTAAACCATTTCAAAACAAAATCAAAAAGGGTCTCCAAAAACTACATTACTTTTAATCCCTGACATTATCAAAAACGAGTTTATAGACTTGAAAAGTAGCATGTACAATTGCATCCATAACAAAGAACTATTTGTCTTGCCATAATTTCGTGATTGAAAAGTTTAAATTTACCTTGCGCTATTACAAGGGACAAAGGGGCAGAATTCGGGGATTTGACACTGTATGAAATATTCACTTTAGACCTTTTGTTAAGAAAGTATGCCCACTCCTGCAACCCAAGAACAAATTTAATTGCAACTATTATTCAAAACATATGAACAGTCTCGAAAAGTCAGTGCTTCAATGTTACTAAGAAGACAAAAATAAAGGGTTGAGAATCTAAAATACCTCAATTTTGAGTTCCTGATATTTCAAATAGAAAATAAAAAAAATAAAAAATAAAAAATAAAAACATTTGGGTCCATGCAAGGATCATGAGACCTATATTTCCAAAGTAAGTGCATTTGTGAGGGTAACTACAAAACAGTGGTTACAGTGGCTTAACAGTCTAATGATTCCACATTTCTGAATGCAAGCAATTAGAACTCAGTTAAAGATAATAAAAGCGAACAAGTCTATCAAAACAATACAAGTATAAAGACAGTATAATAGTCTTACAGAGCAAGTGTTACTATCTAATGCAACTAGGAATAAACCCAGATTGAGAGAGAGAATGGCAAACCAAATTCAATTGTCTCATATCAGTTTGTGTACAATAAACCCATTTTTAACAACAAAAAGTTCAAATTAAACACTGAAGCCAAAAGTACTTGAGGGTTAATAATTGATATATGACTAGGTAAAGAACAATTACTCCAAATTGTGAGAAACCCATGTGATATTATCAACAAAAAATCATAATATGAATGAAAATCACCAAAAAATTGAAATTAAATTAATATAGGTAATTCAAGTTCCATGAGAATATGGGTTTAAAAGCTAAAAAGAAACAAAATTTGAGAGAGCAGAGCAACTACCAGAGAGGGGGACAAGATGCGTTGGCCTAAGAAGGAATTTGAGGAGAGAGAAAAAGAAGTGAAGGAGCTCTAAAGAGCAGCCATTGTGGCCATTGTTGTTGTGACTCTCGAAGATTGCTACTTCTGCAATGAAAAAGAACGTTCTCTCTCTAACCCATCTCTCTACGATCTTAAACTCATCAAACCCATCCATAAAATCTTCTTTTTTTAATAGAGACCTTCTCAAAAATCGCCAAATCAGGTTTTGTATTTGACCCACAATGTGATTGGGGGCTAATCAATGGCTCCAAAGATCGAAGACTCTTTGAACCCTCAATCTCTCCTTTCACAGCTACTTTCTTCTCAATACCCTCTGGCGACAGTGTTGCTGAGATTTTGGAGAAGTTTGGAGAGGATGTCAGGGGTGAAAGACGCCATTGTTGTGATTGAAACAGGGCGGCGCCACCACGTCGTCGTATGGGGTACTGCACATGGTGTTGCGGCTGCTAAAAGAGAGAGAGAAGTGAAAGTGACTAGGGCAGGACTGGGCTGGGAGTGAGAATGAATTAGGGATTTCAGATACACAACCAAGAAGAGAAGAGAAGCATGAGACTACGATAGATACCTTTGATTTCAGATACACAACTGAAGAGAAGAGATGAAATGATCCTTGGTAAGCCTAGCAATTGATTCGGCCTTCATCATCATCACACAGAGAGAGATTGAAAGGTTCCATAGAGGAAGGCAAAATAGTTATTTTGAGAAAAAAAAAATTAATATATATATATATATTTTTTTTATTGGCACTCCAAATTTTATTTTGGCACTTTTTTTTTTTTTAATCATACAATTCACGCATATACTGTGCGTCGTAAAAAGGAAATACTTTTAACGGCAAGCGATGTGTGCGTCGTAAAAAGTGCAATACTTTTAATGGTGGGCATTGTGTACGCTGTGATGTGTGCGTCGTAAAAAGTGCAATACTTTTAATGGTGGGCATTGTGTACGCTGTGAAAAGTATTCACTTTTCACGGCTGGCGTATGTGCGTCATGTATAATTAATGTATTAACGGCACGCCATATGCACGTCGTAAAAGTTTTATCATTTACGACGTGCATTGCAAGGCATAAAAAAATCATCGTTATTACCATTCACAGCCTACGCAATAGACACGTCGTGGTTGGAAAAGTATTTACGACGTGTAAAAAAAGCAAGTCGTAAAAGTGAGAAACCACGACGTACATTTATTGTATGCTGTTGATGTGGTGCCGTAAAAAGTCAGTTTTGTTGTAGTGATCAACCACACTTGAAGAGGGATAAAAAAATAAGAAAGATTAAAGAATAGAGAGATATGCGTTCAGAGAAAAAGTAAGAAAAGGGCTTTGAGAGAAAATATAGAGTAAATGCCAAAGTGATGTAAGAAATCATAAATGGGAGAGGATGGGAAACAATACCCGCAAAAGTAGTAGACTCCTTGTAAATCGAGAAGTCTCTCATCGATGGAAAGCATCCAAACCCATTATGGTTTTGGCTAGTGCTAGGCTTATACAGCTTCGGCCCTCCTTGACGCATTGAGGGGCAAGAAGGTAATGGGCAAGCAAGCATATGCAGAAAGCATGTTGGCAGTAACCTCGCCAAAGAAGATCATGCCTATTCTCGACGTCGGAGAAACAGCGAATCAGGCCACGAATGTCTAACTCTCCATCATGAGCCAAAGATTTAGCCTCCTTGAAAGAAAGGCCACACATTTATTGAAGAGCCCGTGCATGACCAAAAAGGGTTTGAGGCATAATTTCTTCGTCGCGCCAAGACTCCATTAGTGCTTGAAACTCTTTGAGAGTAGGACACATCTCTTGCGATCTAAAGCGAAACACATAAGTAATCGAATCCCAACAGCGGGCAGGGGCATAGAGGAACAGGAAAAAAAAAATAGAGTGCGGCTCAAAGTAAGAAGAGCATTTATGCCAAACCGTTGAAATTCACATTTTCCGTACCATCTAATCTTTGAGCTTCTCCACATGGAAAATCTCCATTTTCAAAGAAAACAGCAAAAAAACATGATGTTCTGTCAAAAAAAAAAAAAAACAAGAGAAGACCTTTATAGAAGATAAGGCTGTATGAGTTGTTGGCAATTGTTGCTAGCTGTACAGCCGGAAGTCTTGGCCGGCCAACCACTTATCCAACCGACCGTACATTTCATTGGCTGGTCGGCCAAGTATGCCGACCAAACAGTTTGGCAGTAGTGTTATGTTTGCCCTCTTTGTTTTTGCATCTTCTTTGGAGTCTTTTGTTTCTAGAAAGTGTAAATAGATGTGTTTAGGTTGTTTTTACTTTGTCTTTTCTTTATTGAGTTGTATTTTGCATTTTGGTCAGTTATAGGCTCAATATCCGGTTGAAAACTCATTCAATTGTGATCATTCTCATTTCAAATTCAGAAACACAATCATTTTTTATGCAAGTGTTGTGCCATTCTCGTGATGTTGTACAAAGCAAAAGTTCCTTCTTTTATAAAACTGTAGAGTTCGATCTCGATCATAGTATTTACAAAAGAAAAAAATACAAGTTTTCAACAACAAATAGTAAAAGACCTATCTGAAGCTATACAAAGTTTTGAACTACCAAAGCAAAAGAAAATAGTAAAAGCAATGCAAAAAAATCATCATCTGTCAGGTCAAGTGTGTTGGGAAGCCCTCTTCGTCTTCTTTAGAGGATGAGACTCAGGATCACTGTCACCATCAGCACCGCTCCCACTGGAAGACAGTGACTCCAAGCTAGAATCATCGTCTCCATCCTTAGACTTAGAGTGCTCACTCATGACCTCCTCGGTGTCTCTGGTCTCAGTGTCCTCGCCGGTAAAAGTCCTCTCAACAGACGAAGAAGGCCCCTACACTCGGGACTCGCTATCTTCGCTCTGACTCTGACTCTTTCTCCGGGCATCTCTGCCTCTACCTCTACCTCTGCCCTTAACCCTGCCATGCGCTGGAGCTCGTCTGTCTCCCCTCTCCACAGTTAGAGGGGGTACCACAGGTGCCGCTGGTATAGGTGGAGGCTGAAAGGAGCTTGCAAGAAACAGAGCATCAGTATAGTTTGGTGCAAAAGCAATACACAAATATTCAAAGGAAACCAAGCGAGTTACCTAATGGCAATGGTAGGTGAGTAAAGCCTCCTTCCTCCGTACCATATGGATTAAGGAGCCAACCAACTGAAGGACCCGTCCATGTAACCGATTGGCACCTGCAAATGAGTTTGAACATCAGTATATAAAAAAGGGAATATGAAATACAAACTACAAGACAAAGTGCATACCTGCTGCACGTCGGGGTCGCTGACGTACTCGTGCTACTCTTTCAAATGGTCAATCAGAATCTGGTAAGCGATCCCACTCAATCGCCAATATGTGATCGTAGTTTGGATCACAAGCAGACTCGCTATATGAACGGGGAGAGGAGCCCCTCCAACATGAGGCTTAGCCGCACGAGCAGCACTTCTAGCAGCGAGAGCATCTGCAGCGCCTACTGTGCGAGCTCTGGCCAAAGTTGGTATGAGGTGGGTCTGGATGAAATCGGTGTAGTTCCCAACCCGCCATGAACTGTATAATAGCCTCAACATGATGACTATCGACGATCCTTATAGAGGGTGGAGGGGAAGTAAGAACAATGGGATCTAGTATACCCAGGGTCTGGCGCACGAACCTCTTCTCCAGATACCAGGTCCGGTAGAAAGGACCCTCCAGCAAGATCTGCAACCTAAGGTATCCCACCCACGGCTGCCACGACCACCCACAACTGCCACGTAACCTACAAACAAGGAATTTCCAGTTGTCAGTTATTGTTAGTTGTATTAGTTGTCAGATTATAGAATGGAAGCAATATAAATGGAATGGAATGGAATGTGTATGGGTTTCAGATTACCTCACCTGTCACCACTGTATCAAAGAATCAGTGATAGTAGGTAAAAGTGGTGACATTGTGGCACTGGGGATAGCACCTGCCGCCATATCGCCTCGAGTGAGGCACGAATGTCTCCACCTCATCTCTCGACACCAGAATAAGGGCAATGAAGTAAGCATAGACCCAGAGCTGCAAAAAGAGAACAGTTTGTGAGTCAACAGATTATAAACATAAATAAAGGTAGAAAATGCAAAGCAAAAAGCATAAATTACAAGCAGAAAGCATCAATTACAAGTAGAAATTGAAAAGGAAATGCAAGATGTACCTTCCAGGCTCTCTAGTAGCCACCGACCATGTTTCCCTTCTTGCGGCAATCAAAGTTCATATATCCATAGAGGGTGGCGAGGCCAGTGCCACCCCAATCATAGAAATGCACCCGCGGCAAGACCACCAAGGCACTTAGAAGTTACAGAACTACGGTGTTCCACCTGTTCGCAAATAAGGTGGTGACGAGAAGGTAGATCAGGAAACCCCAGGTGTACTGCTCAATCTACTCCTGAGTCTCCGGATGGCTCCCATGGAAGTGGTCATAGAACCAGTTGTAATGCACCATGGATAGCCTATCTAAGAGAGGGTGCGCACCAAGAAGATGGACCCAAGCAGTCCGTCAGTAGCCCATGTCAAGATCAAAAGGGATCGGATCACCCCCCACTCGTAGCCCCGTGATCATGGAGAAGTCATAGGGGGTCATCGTCATCTCCCTAGTAATGAAGAAGTGGAAGGAGTTGGTGGTGTCCCACCACCTTTCCACTAGGGCGCCGAGAAAAGGCCAACTCACCTGCAATCGTGAGAGCCTGGAGCAGAATAAGTCGAAGCCTGCCACATCAACTAACTCTCAGACTCAAGCAGGGAGCTCCTGGTACCAGTCCTTCGCTGTCACTATCCCATAGCCTCTCCAAGCAAGAGCATCACCCTATGCTGAAAGAAGAATTTGTTACATGCATGACAAATGAAAGTTTTTAATGAATGCCAAAGCAAGCAAAATGTATATAAAGAAGCTAAAGTTCTTACCTTAGAAGCGTAATAGGAAAGGTGTGAGGTGCGCTCCTGCAAAAGCAAATCCTCAAGCATGCCCCAGGTAAAATCCTCAAACCGTAACATGCCGTTTGAAGCCATCACATGTGTACGCGGATAGCAGGTGGTTGGATCAAAAGGCCTCACCCTCAGTGTTGGTAGCTCAAGCTCAGGCTCAGGCTCAAAAAAGAAGATATCCTCCGTAGCAATGTTAGCGGCAGTGTCCTCTGTCGTCCTATCAGCCTCCTCAATCATTGGCTCTTCCATACCCGCGGCAGGCAGAGGAACCAGCATATCGGGAAGGGGACCATCATGTGGGATATCGTCAACCATGAAGAATATAGTGGGTGGTGAGAGAAAAATAAGAAAAATGAGGGAAATATACGGAAAACCCAAAAACCTAAAACCCTATGAAAGAGAAAGTGAGGAAAAAAGTGAAAAACTCGAGGGTAAGTGCCCAAATACCAAGAAAACCAGTGAAAACAAGAAAAAAAAAAACAAGAAATAAAAACTTGACCAAATCAAAATCTGATTGGCTAAAAATGTAGAGGGCCGACAGGGTTTCCTCCAAAAAGTTGGCATGAATCGTTGGGTAAAAATGAGTAGAGTGAAAATCTGGAGCGAGAGAGACCCTAGAGAAAGAGAGAAAGAGTTTTCAGATGTGAAGGTGTGAGAAACTAGGGCTTAAACTGTGTTTAAATGAGCCATGGGTATAAAAACCCTATTCTACCCCTGAAACAGATCGATCAGTCGGTTGTACAAACGATTGGCCAGCTAACTCCAATTTGGCCGGCCG